GAAGGTTATGTCGAAGGAAACTTGTTTTAGTAATCAAATTGGAAATTTGCATTACACTATTATTTTCCTTTTCTCCATTGTTCTAGTTAAATGTCGAGTAATTAGATGAATAATGTCCATAAAATGCCAGCTAGCTTTCTGGCTTGCATATTATTGTTAACTAGTGCTCAATGCACCCAATGAGTGTGCAATCAAAAAATATATAATATCTATGGTCATATATTTTAAATAAAATTTTTATTACCGAACCATACTTTAATCTTTTAAATATTTTCCATGAAATAATTTTATATTGGTGGTTATAATATTTAGGGATAGTTAAGTTGAAAACATATTGTTAAATAGTCAAAAGTAAAAATAATCATGGGTGGTTATAGGTAATTAAAGTAAAGGGATAATTTTAGAAACCTCCCCCAAGGTTTCTGACAATATCACTAGCCTCCCTTGAAGTTTGTAAAATTACACAAATATCCCTTGCGATTAAGGTTTTGATAACAAAATTGTCCAATTAGAAAAATAACATTTAAAGAGTAATTTAAAGAGAGAGATGAAACTTTGATTCCATAAATACCCCTTATGCATGTATATAAATTGTATTAGTAAAAAAATAAAAATAATTAAAAATTAGAAACAATTAATACACACATTTTATTACTCAAAAAGTTCACATTTAATAAATGAGACAATACAAATAAGCAACAAAACTACACTAATGATCACAGGATTCAACAAAATAGATTAATCATCTCTTTTGACATGATGTTTGCTATGATTTTTGTGATTTTGAACAGAAAAAATTTCAAATTTTCCTTTCTTTTTCCTCCATTCTCTTTTACTAATATCTAACGATTAAGTAATTAGAGCACTAATTAAATATTAGTAACTAATTAACAAAAATAACTGTTAAAAATTTCTTTAATGATGAAAGATAACTTATATTTACAAAATAATATCAATTGATATACCTAATGAAGGAAGGAGGGAAAAGAAAGGCAAATTTTGAAAAAAATTTTGTTCAAAATCACAAGAATCATAGCAATATATATCATGTTAAAAGAGATGACTAGTCTGTTTTGCTGAATCTTGTAATCGTTAATGTAATTTTGTTGCTTATTTGTATTGTCTAATTTATTAAATATGAACTTTTTGAATGGTGAAATGTATGTATTAATTATTTGTAACTTTTAATTATTTTTATTCTTTTACTAATACAACTTATATACATGCATAAGGGGTATTTATGGAGTCAAAGTTTCATTTCTCTCTTTAATACTTTTTTAATGTTACCTTTCTAATTTGACTAATTTTGTTATCCAAACCATAACTTCAGGGGAGGTTTGTTTAATTTTGTAAACTTCAAGGAAGGCTAGTGATATTGTCAGAAACCTCAGGGGAGGTTTTTGAAATTTTCCCTAAAGTAAAAGTAGTTTTTATAAGGGCAAAAAAGGAAATCCATAAAGTGTTAATTCCAACATTAACCCCAACCCCTTCCTTAGTAAAAATAGATGGGTTTTATAGGTAATCAAAATAAAAATAGTTTTTATAAGGGTAAATTCATAAAATGACAATAAATCTTAAATTCCAATGTTAACATCAAACCCCTTCATCATGCTTTATATGTAGTGTAGATACTAATTTAGTAAAGACGTGAACAAATAAAAGTTTCCACATAATGATTTATAAAGGACAGAAAGTTGTCGCATGTTACCAAAGAAAAAAAAAAATCCATATCTTTACTGCCCTTTTTGGTTCTAGGAAACCACTAAGGAAAGTAAGAGAATGGAAAGTAAATTCCTGGAAAACCCTAATCTTTTCTTGCGTTTGGTTGACAAAGGAAAGTATTAAGAAAATGAAAAATAATTCCGAAGAAAGTAAATCCTTTGTTTGGATTATGGGTTTTGTAAAAGGAAATACAAATGGAAACAAAATTTTAAAAAAATGAAATTCAACTATACAATTACCAATTGCACTAAAAGTTCAAGAATTTCGTTATTTTTTTAAAATTATTTGATAATTTGAGTTCATAGAATGTTGGGAATTTGAGTCATTAACTTAAAAAAATTTACCATTTTTGACTGATTAACCAACAAATGCACCAAGAACAGAAAATTAGGGAAAAAAAGGAGCTAAGATAATAAATATGCAAAGAAAAAGTAAGTTAGAAAATACCAGTTAGTAATTAAAGTGCTACATAAATTTTTATCCTTTTCTTTTCATAATTGCTTCAAACAAAATTTCTTCGTTTCCATTTGGTCACCTTACATATCTTCGAAAATCATTTTCACCTTTGCGCATAGTCAATGGTTAATAAGGTAGTTCATTAAGTTGCAAGTAAATAGAACATTGCAAGGTGGCAATTCGAGCAACAAGGACGGGTTTGGTATACTGAGTAATTGGTATAATTGGATCAATTCATTCATACCAAGTTGAATATCAGCCTATTTATGCAAGTACAAATGAATAAGTCAAAAATGATCCATGTAAATTTCTATGCTCATTTATTTTAACTTTTTACAAACTTATTTAAATTTATTTATAAACTCAATTATCAATTTATAGCACCCTTCGAGTTTAGACCCAATTCCTATTTTTGAATATTTATTTATAATACCCATCAAGCCCAATTACAATTTTATCCCTGTTTAGTATGTTGCAAAATCACTTTTTATTTGATAAATAGAACAATAAAAATACATAAATTTGAACTAAATATTATGTAAAATTTTTTTATAATTTTGAATTTGATTTGCAATTGCAAAGGATGATAATCATGGTACTTGACATTGCCTGGATTGATCCATAGACATACAATTAGGGATGGTAATGGGTAGGCTATTTGATCCATACACATGCACTTGACATTGTCTGATATGATACCTACGAGTATTCAATTCGATGGTTAATTCGATTAAATAACGGATGGGTTATCTGTTAGGATTTGATATTTATGAGAAGTTACCGATGAATAATCCAATACGATATGATAAGAGGATCATAAAAATCCAATACTCGATGCTTTAGTGGGTCGAGGATAGCCGATGGACAATCTGAAATCATGAGTGAGAGGATTTGGTAATGGGAATTAAAACTAGTAGGTTTATCCAATAGAATTTGGTAAAATATTTAGATATGCAGGGAAGAGGGATTTTTAAGGTTAGCCACCCCTATATACAATACAAGCAAAAATAAATGATCGTGAATCTGAATTCATACTATTGACCATGTTTTCTTAACAAAAAATTTGGCTATTCCTTTTCCTGGAAGGGGAATAGGTTAATATCTTTTTATTTCAGGCAAAATGTAAAAATTTTATTCACCTGATAAGTAGGGAATTTACCAGCAGAGAGCAAAATAGCTCAATAGTACCAGCTATACAAACTATGGCATCTCAGTATTACACCTAAGAACTGGGCTGCTAGACATTGATAGAAAGAAAACAAAACTAAAAGAGCCCGCCATTCATACTGCCACATCTTCACCTGCTTCAATTACCATTTCACTCGAAAATGCTATGGGGAAATCCTCACTCCATGGCCAGCTTCCAATTTTCTTTTCGCCTAGGAACAGCTGCGATACGAACGGCACCAACCTTGTGATGCGACCCGTACAGAAAGGCTTGGATCTAGAAGGTAGAGACTCACGTTGAAGACGACGAACGCAGCGGATCACCTAAACCCGTTGATCACGTGGTCAACGAACCTCGGTATTTGTAGAGGACGCCACAATCTAGCGCTGTCCTAGATTAATAAGTCAATTGAATACCTAAGATATAGATCTAAGATATTCAAGGTGCTTCAATGAAGCTTTTGAGAGAACTCTCAATGTAATTTTATTAATCGTCGAAAACTGCCTGTAAAACAATGACCTAAGGCTATTTGTAGCCGTGACTAAGGCCCAACAACATATGGCCCGTAAGCTCCGGGGGCGTTGCCCCTGAGCCCCCACCAGGGGCGCGTCGCCCCCTGGACCCCCAACTCGCTGACCGGTCAGCGAGACCCCCGTACCGACTCAGCGTAGGGACTAACTACGTGGCCCACTAAAGCGCTATTGGTCCTAAGGCCCACATGGCCTAGCCCCTTGACCCAAGAACTAATAACGACTAAGATCCAAACCACAAGCTAGTTGAACCTCTTTATTACATTCTACTAAACTACTAATGGCCATGGCCCCCGCGAACCTTGGGCAGCTAATCCTCATGGATGGCCGATAGTAGGACAACATCTCTAGCTTCATTGAGGCCCTCAATGACCCTTGGCTCTCCACTTGACTCATGGGCTGCACGAACCAATGTTTGTAGTGTCTCATTCAACCTTTTCGCGCGAGCTCGTGTCATAGGCCCCAATGGCACCTTCACTTGCTCCACTTGGATAGCTCCCTCGACCTCCTCATCAAGCTGTCCAAGAAACAACCAATTCTTGGAAGCCATCAGTGATATCGACTCAATGTCCTTCAAGGATTAATTTTTCTGCATGTAAGCTTCTCAAAGAAAAAGTCATCTTCTTTTTTTCCATTGATCAATAATTTGTTTTGACAAGAGTTGTATCCGCTTTAACTCAGAAAGCTTTAGATGATAACATGCAATATGGATGTAGCATCTTCCTGTTACATTCAGTTTTGCTGCCATTCCATCAGTTCAATTGTATTTTTTCAACTGGATAATGAATGAAAACTTCGATTCCTCAACTTTTAGTTTTTCTGTACAAGCCATTTATGAATACAAAGATACATCCTCTAGATGCACTTGTACTTTCTGGATGAGAAATGTGTAGTTAGTGTTGAATCGTGCATCTACTCTGTATACAGCAGAGCTGCCACCCTTTTTCATTGGTGTAATGATACAACAGAGCAAGTTGATGATTGGAAGAAATTCTGCATTTTCAGTTTGCAGAAGTGACATGGCCTGTTGCTCGAAAAAAGAGCCTGAATTTTCTTACTCGTTTATGTGATCATGGCTATTACCTCTTAGTTTTCATTACATATGATTTGCAAATTATCATTGAAGTTTGCAAGACCACTTATGTCAGTCAGTATCATGGTACATGTACAGAATATATCAACCGTGTTCAATCCAACCACAAACTGATCATAAACATGAACTCAAATGAAAGAGCATAATATACTCAAAAGCATCGCAGGAAAGATTCTGACTAAATCAACATACTTTGAACCAAAAAAGAACAATTACCAATAGTAATGAAGCCTCTCTAGAGCACAGCCCATGAACTGTGCTGAGTTCGAAACATTAGAGTTGTTTTATGCTTCCTAGTCATGTCGAATACTTCACATTTCAGACCAAAGAAAAGATCCAGAATGCCTCCTTCAGTTGCTTCCTGCACAGACACAAATCCCAAACTGCCAAATCTCAGTGGAAGTCCTATATAATTCGAAATAAAATGGGCGCTTCGACCTGCAACAGATGATCAATTCCTTCGTTTCCGCACATTTTAGTGAGCAAAGGGATTGTAGGCAAATTATACTTCCAAACTCCTCACCAAATTCTTTGATTCCTTTTCCCTGCTGCTTTACCTCTGCAACCAAACGTGAGAAACAAATTCCAAGGGAAAGTCTTTCCTTTTCCTCACTACCTTCCATGAGCCATTTAGTGTCTATGGGACAAGTAGAAGCCATCTACAATTTTCTATATTACTCTGACTACAATACATAGAAGGAACTGATAAGTGCAACAGAAGATTTCAGAAATTCGGATGATATATAGATTATTCCCTTAAGATTATTCCAGATCAACTCGATAAAGAGGAAAAGAAGAGCATGGAGAGAATATTAGTGTGACAGACAATGCCATGACCATGGTTGTCACTGCAATCACGAGAATTCTGAACCTACAAAAATTCAATTCAAGGAACCATGAATACTAATGCAACTGAACTGATTCAACACATATGAATAGCACTCTACAGAAGTAAAACTATCCTAATGAGTGGAATCAGCGCCATAGGCTTCATTGCTGTCATCCAATAAAGGAAATACTATCTGCCAAAATCAAATTAAAAATTCAGTTCCATTGCAAAAAATTCATCTATCCAAATGCCTGGGTTTCAAAAGTAAATTTTCTACATTTGCATCCCTCAAGAATATCTTCACAAATCAACCATGCACCTGCAACAGTACAGAAATATATTTCGCTGCCAATGAACAAAAAAGAACAAAGATGGTCAACTTGAAAAAGATTTCGTGGAGCATTTTAACTACCTCAAATGAATTGTTTGCATGCCCTCACAATCCTTTCCTTGTAAACTTGCTCTTTGTACCCTGCTTCCTTCTCCTACCATTTTGCAAGAAAAAAAAATGCTAAGTAGATCTTCAGCTAGCTAGGAAGGAATTGGACCTTCAACTCCAGTAAATCTGCAAAAAAGAGATAAAACAGAGTGATTTTCCTGTTACAAAACTTTTAAGAATTTTTTAAACCATCTAGGAAAAAATAGGCAATAATTTACCAACTAGTCCAAGCTTAGGCCTTTTTCGGGAGTAGCAGTCAAATGGAAGCCATTGCATGTATAGTCAGGGCGAATATAACACACACATTCAATACTTAAATTCTTATAAAAATGTAAACCAATATTGCAACGAGTAGAAGTAAGCGGTAAGGATAAAATTATAGTTTTCAAAATAAAAGAACCCAAACTACTAAATGAGTATATTTGATTTCGAGGAAATAGGGATTCAAAGACTATAATTTATTGAGACAAGTTTGATCAATAGGATTGAGAAGAAAGAAACCTATCTCTAAGGGCTACAACAATTCAATCTGTATTCCAGACCACAAAATGGACAGGACACTAGCGTATAGGAAAGCTAAAGCATGGGAATACATAACATGAAAGCCACCAAGAATGAAAATAAGAGCATGACAAGTAATAGAAGATAACATATGGCTAAAAATAGTGGCACTCAGGACAGGATCGGATCATCTTACTTGCATGTGACACCAGTGCCAAGATGCATTTAATTCATTTTAACCGTCCAATCCACATAAACTCAACCAGATGCACCTAATTCATTTTATAGCCCCACATATTCAGCATCTGCAAAATCATTGCCAAAATGCCAACCCATTTTATTTCTCTTTCTCATTTTCCAAACCATATAGATACCAGATACCAAAATAAATGAAACTAGACATGAATTGAACCCGTGTCAATCTATGTTTTCAGAACCGGACCGGATATCGACTCGGTCGAGCTCAGGGATCAGGGGTCAATGGGTTTAACCGGGTTCGATAGGGGTTGAACCGGATAACGTCATAAATAAAAATTATTTAAAAATTAAAATATTATATGTAAAATACTTAATAACATGTTAATATTAATAAAGGTATATTCATATATAGTTGATGTTTCAAATATATTTAAAAAGAAAATACAAATAAATTAGAACAATCAAGTAGCAATTTATATTATTTAATAAGCATTAACAAGTTTAGAATTAAAATTATAGACTTAATTGAAAAATTACACCAAACTTTAAGGCAACATTTATAAGGTATGAAATATTTGAGATATATTAATAATTTTTAACAACTTAAGGGTCAAAATATCATATTTGACCTTTCAAAAAAAGAAAAAAGAAAAAAAAAAAGAGACCGGGTTCATTTTCCGGTCAAACCCAGTTTTTGACCTGGTTTGACTGAGTTTTTGATTTCCCAGTTTTTAAGATTAACTTGGACCGGACAACTGGCAGGTTGGCGGTTCGACCGGTCGGACCGCCCTGGTCCGGTCCGAGTTTGAAAACAGAGGTGTCAATGAGAACCTAATACAGAATCTTTTTTAACATTCTGAGACACATATAATCACTCCGCTGTCATCTTATTCACAATCATGGTTTCAAATTTTTGCATTGCAGCCTTTGTCCCAGAATCATAGACACCAAAACTAGTTACAACAATGCAACCATGTCAATGCAATGTGCTAGCAAATGAAAGCTATCACTCAAATGGACTTTCATATACTAAGAATGAATTTGCCTAACCTTGAAACGTCCATAGTCTATTTTAAATGCTAATGCCTGGAACAAATTTGAAGAAAACTGGAAAAGCATTGAAAATTCAAAGAAGAAAAAGAATGAACTATAAAACCACTGAAAATTCCTAAGAAAAAGTGACAGACCACAAGTATTTCACTTGAGGCAATGCTTTGTGATGCCTTGGAATGATGCAACTGTACTTGCCTGAGGCCTTCTTTCTCCAGCAATGTTTGGCGCGTAAGAAGTTGCTTACATGATAATTATTTTGAAAAAAAAAAGTCACTAGGATCAAACTCTATGATATCAAATTTCTCTTAAACTAGCTAATTAACAAGGATGAGTAAAAGTAAACCTGATTTATGCATGTAATCTTTAGCTCCATTGATGATATAACCATGTAATGCTGATCAAGGAGGTCAGTCAATTAAAAGCAACAGCCCCCAAAACCAACAGCATTTACAAGAGCTATATAGCATAGCCTTTCACGTTATTAAGTGTCCTAATACAAAGTAAAATTTTGGGTATAGCAACTCGGAGATGATGCTGTAGGAAGAATTTTGGCTCAACTGCAGAAAAGAACGTAAACTAACAATTGATTTTTCTATAAACTCAATCCAACTTTCTCATTAGATTTCAAGAGATTTACAGACCTTGCAATATGTGTTATAAGATGATTAGACTTGGTTACCAAGAAAATTTCGAAGAACTACATGCTATCAATTATGCCAGATTTAGAATCTAGGAGAAAGAAATAGTCTTGTATAAAGCATAACAGTGCTATTAATTACTTCGTAACCCCTTACCATCATATTGATGTCATGTGACGCAATAGCAATGAGTTTTTTCCCCGTTTAGATACATAAATGAGATAGGAAATTATATCAACTCTAGACAATGGTCTTGTTCTCTATAATGAGAATATGCAGCAAGCTAGGAAGGAACCAATTTTCTGGTACTTGATCTGTAAGAAATAGGGATTACCTGCTCAGCAAAAATCAGACCATATATGAGGATCTACTCCTCTACTTACTGCCGTCAACAGAAGATATAAGGAGTTCTCATATTCCATAGAAATTCCTGGATGGTTTATAAAACAGAAATTAATTCAGTAGAAGAAGAATTGTCTAATTTTTCAACATATGGCATTCAGTTGGTCATATATATTTGATAGCTAACAAGGATATTTGGATTGAACGTCATTAACTTTAAAACCAGATAAAGCCCACATACCTCCTAGGGCCTAATATGACTGTACCTCATAGTTTTAACGCAACAGGTTGATCATTATCTTGTTTAGCAGAACAATAAAAAATGAATTGAATAAAGCCAGTTACCATAGACTAACACGCATTGGTAAAAGTTATCAAGAAAACTATATCCAACACTAACAAGCTGAAAACAATAGCAATCAAGTAGGTCCCACAGATTCACGTATCAACAGATGATTCAACTAAGACATCAAGAAATGACCCATTAGTTTCCCAAAAAGCAAAGATTCATAATTTCCTCAGTATCAAGATGAAGTATACTTCTCAACATAATTTGTTAAATTCTATAGAACTTGTGTTAGCTAAACAGCACCATATACATATTAACAGTTGCAAAGAAGTTTATTTTTTGTCTAACAATTCAGGCGTCAAAGTCACACTGGTAACATCCAAGAAAACTATCTCAAAAATGCCCACAAAAAGAAATAATCACCTGCCATACTTGCTATATAAATTCTCAATTGCCCCAGGAAAGCACCTACATGGATTTCCTTTTCAACAGTTCAAATTTCCAAAAACTTTCCAATTGCCGCCAATCCATAACCTCCCAAAATTGCAAGAATCTGCAGAAAAAGCACAAAAAAATAAAGAATCTAAAGAGGTTCACTTTAAACTACAAATTTCTTCACAAAAAAAACTCTGAAAAGGACACGAGCCAAAAGAAAAAAAGGAACTAGTAATGAATATGTCAATGAATTAGAAGAGTTTCTGTGCGTCTATAGGCTAGCAAAAATTATTTACAACTGCCAACAATTTCTACCAACTATTAAAATCAAAAACCTTTTTTCTTTAAAGAAAAGACAGCCAGAAGAACACACAAGATTTGCATTCAGAACCTAGAAAGGTACACAATTCTGCATAGACAAACAAAGCCATTCAAGTTTTGAAAATAAGGCTCATAATTCCACCTTAAATCATATTGAATTCAACCAGAAAATACAAAAACACGATAAAATTCCATGTTTTAATCTGTAAAAGCTTCAATTATGGGATTAACGTGTAAGAATTCTTCATTTGTATGAAATAAAAGTATCTGAACAAAAAATTTGCACATACTAAAATAGTTATATCTAAAGTCTAGTTACCTCGCATTTAAATGGCAACACCTAAGAGAGATTCCTCAGCGATAATTAGGAATTCAGTGTTGGAGAAGTGAAACCAGCTCTGTGATGTTTGGATCCTTCAATTTATGCACAAAGACTTGGAAATGAAGAGAGATTGACAGTAAAATCCTCAAAAATGATGCTGCTATTGACCGGAATTTATGAATGATGAAGAAAATTGAGATTAAAACACAAATAGGGATTAAATCTAGCCTTCTTTCTTTTCATGAAACAGAGAACTCCTAGAGATAATGGAGGAGAAACACAATTGAGTAGGGATACAGATTGAGCTCTTCTGGCTGTAAAGAGAGAAAATGGAAGAGGCAGTGAAAGAAGGGAAGAAGGGAGAGAGAAAATGGAATATTTGCTCGGGAAATAGATTCCCGAAAGACAAGTAATTTCTACTCAGGAAAATTTATTTAGCCCCAGGAAATATAAACTAATTTACAGCCCAGTCATTTAGAGTGTTCTTAATAACGGCTTTTTCCTTTTCTGCCGCACTAATGCCACAAAAGCCTAAAAGGGTTGTCAATTTTGCAGCATAAATAGAATTGTGCCGCCTATCAAATCCTGGTTTCCCATCTCCATCTGTTCTTGCTGAATTTGTTCTACATAACTTACGAGAGACTTGTGACAAAATTCCACCTCAATCATTTCAATGGTAGAACTTTCCCCTAAACAAAGAGGGACCTCTTCCAGCCGTAGACAGCTATATAAAACCAATTTCTCAAGATGAGAAAAATTATCAGAATTATAGGCAGTCCAGTTGCAAAGATTCAATCTTGACAATTCCAAGAATCGGAGCTTAGAGAATTCCCCTTCTTGCATTTCCCATTTTTCCCCCAAGAAGGACTTCTTTTCTAATTTAAGCACTTCAAGATTGGGCAATTTTCCAATTGTTGAAATTTCACTCCACGGCCATTTATTGCGTGAGAGAGTGAGCTTTTTCAAATTCATTGGGACTTCCAACTTGCAGCCGTAAAAGCGATGCAGCTGAAGTGATTCTAGTCGACTCAAACTGTCTAGCTTGACAATCCCAGTCTGATTTCCAGCATCTGCATGCACGCATTTTAGCCTACGAATGCTTGGTAACTTCTTCAGTATCTTCTGCAACTGTTCACCAAAGCAGTTAATTGCAAGGCTAAAAGAGTCTAAATGATCTAGATCTGGGGAGTCTTCAATGTCGCGAGTGGGTAACGTAAAACCACTCGGCGGGAATGTTTTATTCCTTTGATGTCCAAGTGTTGAACCACTAAACTGTGGAGACTCTGTTCTCCTTAGATGTCTCAGTGTCTTAATGTTCCAGATAGTATTAGGCAACTGAGCAACAGCATTGCCTCCTACCAGAAATGTATGTAACCTTGAGAGGTTGTCTATGGCAGATGGAATGGATGCTGAATACCACAAGCTAATTGCCAAGTATCTTAGGTGCACAAGCAATAATAATTTGCCTGGAAAATTGCCAGAAACACGCATGTCCCTAAAATCTAAAACTCTAAGAAGTTTTGATTTTAGAAACCAAATGGGGCCATCATGCAGCTTTTCTGAACCCATACAAGCATAACCAAAGTAGAGCAAACAACGTAGTCTAGGAAAAAATGGCCTTGACATAGCAAGCTCCTTTCCGCTCATGGAATACATACACAGTCGGTGGGGGCTGGGTCCAGTAGAAGTAGAAAGGTCATCACCCCAATTTGAAATCTGTAGAAGGTCATTACTCCCATATGAAATCTGTAGAAAACTTTCTTTTTTGGCCTTTGCCACAACAAACTCATGTACTAAATCATGAAGTCGGCAAATTTTGGCACCAGCAAGAGTTCTTTGTTCGGTTACCATTACCAAACTTCTACCAATCAAATCTTTCAAGTAGTCTTCTGCCACATCATCTAGACTCTTCCCTTCTATCTTTTGGACAAATCCTTCAGAGATCCAAAGCCATGACAACTTTCGGACAGGAATGTCTTGGTCTTCTCGAAATGCACCTACGTAAAGAAGGCATGGCTTCAAATATTCAGGTAAATGAATGTAACTCAGCTCCAATGGTTCAGTGCTATTAGAAGTGTTGGAATTGAGGCTGTCTGCAAATTCTTGCCAGCAGTCTGGCTCAATTCTTGAAAGAATTCCAGCAAAAATGACAACTGTGTGAGGTAGCCCCTTGCACTTATTTGCTACTTGCATTAAAACTTTGATTAGTGTTGGAGGACAATCTTCTTTGCCAAATATCTTCCTCAGAAGCAATTCAAGACACTCTTTATCACTAAGATGGCAGAGATGGTGAGGCTGACTATCAGATTTAAATTGCAAAGGCAAATTCTCAATCCTGCTGGTGAACAGAATCCTGCTTCCATTTGCATCGTTTGGCAACGATCTTTCCAACAAATTCCATGCCTCAATGTCCCACACGTCATCCAAAATGATAAGATACCTATTTCTCTTCAAAAGCTGGAAGAGCATCACAACCAAATCATCTTCATGCATCTTAATATATTGATCATGACTTCCACTACCAATACTGGACAAAATTTGAACTAACAAATTCTGCTTGCTGTATACTTGGGAAATAGTACACCAAGCACGGAAATGGAAGTGGCCTAAAATTAAAGGGTGATGGTAAATTGTGTTGGCTAATGTTGTCTTACCAAGTCCAGCCATACCCACAATTGAAACAATATCTAGCTGGTTTGAACCCCTAGTAAGTCTATCTGCAATTGTCTTTACTTCTTCATCAAGACCCACCAGAACTTCATTCAGTGCTGGGCTACTGAGTTGTGATTTGAAGTGAATAGAGTTGTTGGCAACTCTCTGAGCTTCATCGTCATTCCTGATGCTGTCAGAGACTTTAAGGGCCTCAGTCTTCATATGCTTGATATCTCCAGCAATAGTATCCAAACATTCAAGTCTATCCCCAAGTGCAACAGAGTCGATGACTAACTCTGCCTTGTAGGCCACCTCCATAATACGATCCCAAAGAGCTTGGATTTTTCCATTTTGGTTGCGCTGCTTCACAATTTTCCCTAGAAGAGATCTTAAGAATATAAGATCTTCTTGGATTATTTGGATTTGATCCTTTGGAAAAGCAACTGAAGCGGCCTCAGAAGTTGCTAGTTCCTGGAGATTCTCTAAGAAGAAATCAATAGAGCCCAGCTCGCTGGTCCTAGGGAATCTGAGTGATGAAGATGTTGGTGGATGCGTTTGTGCAACTTCTTGCATCTCGAACGATAAATTTCAAGATCTGTTCACCAAAAGAAAGTTAAACAAAAATATGAGGCACTTCAGTTCAAGTTTTCCCTTCTCTGATTTCTTATTAGACACTTCAATTAGACAATCTATGCTTTGATTACCAAAGTTGCTGCATTGTAGGATGCTCATTTAATTTGACTTATTCTAGATGAAAATTCAAAGGAGTTTCAACAGTAGGATTTCTGCTTTTAATGAATACCAGTTCATAACTAAAAGGTAGTAAATTTATTTGGAGAAAAAATTTTCCATCCTGAACGATTAATTAGCACCCATAAGTATGCTTATACAAGTATTTAGCCTCCAACCGAGAAAAAGTAAAAAGGTAAAAACCCAAGCATGAGGTATCAAACAACTAAGAAACTGATTTTATTCTTCACCTCTTTCATTCTCTTGTTTATACTTTTCCTTCAACATACAGCATACAAAAACAGCAGAGGAAATGGAGTCATTAATCAATTTATTCTTTGTTTTTCTTTTTCGTTTTCAGTTTCCTTGAATTTAAAGTACCTGTTGTTGATAAGCACCGTAATCAGCACTAATTGAAGATATTAACTGCAGAAGCTCTGGCAAGCAGCAGGCGCCAGCTTCACCACCTCCCTAACAACCGCCTCTTACTTCACTCCTGTGGTTAAAATCTCAGCAAATTTATGAGAATAAATGCAAATTTTTCATGGGATTTCATTGAAAAGTATGCTACAATACAAGCAGATTTGGGAGAGTCACTACTGAATGTCTGAGAGGAGATGGTTCACAGTAGCAGGCATTCACTTTCTTGCCATGTTTTGTGGAAGGATATTATTTTTTTTGTGGAAGGATTTATGCATTTCACTTTCCTTCCTCCCCCCCCCCGCGTAATGCTTTTCACTTTCCTTGCCTTTTGTTTTGTGTTTGGACAGTCAAATAATGACAAAAAATTATTTTTGTAATTATTTGTATTACAAAAATAATATTTTTATAATTTTAATTATTTTTTATTTTATAATAATTATTTCACATATATTATATTATAAAAAATATTATAATAATTATTTTAAAAAATATTTAAATAATATCCTATCCTGTTAGAAATAATTATTTAAAAAAATATTCTATCCTGTTAGAAATTCTCTACCATTTTGAAAAAAAAGGAGTAAGAAAGCTTTATCCTTTCAACGCAAGTCAGAAAGCCGTGTTTCACGCCACGTTGTGGTGCTTAATCCTTTCAACAAAGCTTCGTTGCGTCCATCAGGGCAGAAACATGATTCGTTTTGTGGGCCTCAATAATAGTTAGTGCTAATTTTAAAGCTTTTTTTTCAATTTCTTATTAAAAAACACAGATTTCAATTGAGATGATCTCCACCATTTTTTTTAACCAATGGATTATAATAGCATCACATACTCTGAAAGTCACTGACGTGAATCGTCACTTGTAAGTATTTAGCACATATTTCAATTGAGAAGATCTTCAACATGATATTTTTTTAATTGATAGATTTCAATTGAGAAGATCTTCACCATGATTTTTTTTAACTAATGGATTATAATAGCATCATACATGCTGAAAGTTACAGCAGTCAGGCATTGCTGGCAAGTATATTAAATACTTACCAAAGTGTCGAGATAAGAGATAAATGTTAGCGAAAGGCTTACAAATTTTAGTGGCATCACAGCATTTGTAACATTCTTATGTTCTTTGACATTGTGCATGACAATTCTTTTAGTTTGGACTATTGGGCTCTTTAACTTTAATAACCTTTTTTTTTGGCTTGTTTGATTTTGCTAGATTAGTAGTGATTAGCTCTTGCTTACGTGGAGTAGTAATCCATTTTGGTTCTTTTCTTTTTGTCTTTTCAAGGCTAATTTTTTTTCATGTAGTCATGAAAAGGTTTATTATTATTATTATTATTTGTTTATGTGGAGTAGTAATCTTTTTTGTTTTTTTTCTGTATTTTTTCTTGGTAAAATGATTTAATGGTTTTTTTTCTGGCCACGGGAGAGGGGGAGAGGGAGGGAAAGAGGACAGGGTGTAGGGAGGGGGGTGGTGGGGGAAGGGGGAATGAGGAGAAGAGGGGAGAGGAGATGAGAGAGGGAGGGAGGGAGGAGAAGAGGAAAGAGGGGGGATGAAAGGCAGAGAGAGAGAGAGAAAGAGGAAAATCAAAAAGAAAGGGAGGGAGGGGGAGGTGCTAACGTTGGTGCTGGCAGTAGTTGCAAGAGGGAGGGGGTGCCATCAGTGGGGAAGGAGTAAGGAGGGAGGAAAAAAAAAGAAGAGCAGAAAAAAGGGAAAAAAGAAAGAAAAAGAAAAAAAATAAAGTGTTAGGAAAACAGTAATAACTACAACAATAAAATATGATTTTGACGTGAAAATTTACTTTCCTTAAGGAAATTTGCCCCCACTATTCTACTACCGGGTTTGCAACAATTCCCTCTAGGAATAACAAAGCCAACCAAAATTTTCACACAGTAGTATGCAGAAACTCTTCCAAGACGATTTAGAGAATATTGTTTTAAACGAAAATACCAGAATAGTAAGAAAGTAAAAAAGTGAGGCCTCTGTTATCTGGACACTATTTTTTATAACTTTTAGATACCCCAAAAGAAATATCATGTTTTTTGGAAACGTATTTCTTCATGAATAGATACCTTTTAAAATGAATGGACACTTAACGGTTGTGTGTGTTGTATCATCAGATGCAACCCCTAAAAGGAAACCGTTTAGTTAGGAAGAAATATTAAAACGAAATTAATTAAAATTAATTTCGGTTCTTAAGATCCAAGGGATCCAAGTACCAAGTGCCAATTTTTTGACCATTAAATTTATATTTTAATTTAATAGTCAACATGACAAATGCATGTGAAATTTTAAAGTTTCCCTCCAAAATTTCCTATTATCCAAATTGATTTGAAAAGGTGTGCACTTGATTATAAACCTCTTCTATTCTTCATGTCTTTTCGATGTGGGATTCATCACTAACTATTTCCAACAATCTCCCACTTAGTTAGTGATGGATTAAAGTCAAAACATTTTAAGACTTATGCATAGAATAGGTGTCTTTCGACTTAAACCTATTATTAGTATAATTATTTCAAAACCTTGTTGAAATTGATGGTAATTATAAATTTTAAACCACAATTCCTATATAACAAGATCAGAAATAACTATGCACATAAATCTTACTTATTTCTCGTAAAACGTTCACCGTAAGCTTTAGCACCGTATTATGGCCTTGTGCTACTTCCTGATTCATGAACTCTTACAAAAGTTTTAGACCAAACTTTTGATAGAAGCGGCACCACCTCTTGAGTTCATATAGGTGAAGTCTACTTTAGAGTCTTTTATTAGACTTCCTTGTTCTTCTACCGAACACATGTACTTCATTAAGAATAATAATTATTATTCAACCTCCCATTCTCTTAAGTACTTACCTAGTTACCGGTACTTGCTAACTGTCAAACAATAATTTGTTGTTACCTATTAAACCTTTAGGATTGCTTAGCAATAAGAAAGGTTAGGTTACTATCATTGCTAACAATTTTAGAATGGTCTAAGACCCTTAGCACTGGTAGTGCTTTTGATCATATCTTTTGAGAGTCCTTTAGTTAAAGGATCAGCAAGATTATTACCAGACTTGACATAGACAACTGTTATAATTCCATCAAAAATTAATGCCTTACATATTCATGTCTCAAAGCAATATGTCTAGATTTACCATTATAATCTTGCTAAATGCCCTAAACATAGTTGCTTCACTATCGCAGTGCAAAGAGATGGCTGACATCGGTTGTGGCCACAACTCTATATCTAACAATAAATTTCTCAGCGATTCTGCCTCTTTACCTGCTGCTGCTAATGCAACAAACTCAGACTCCATAATCGAATGAATAATACACATCTGTTTCTTAGAAGCCCATGAGATAGCTCCTCCACCTATTTTAAAGATCCAACTAGACGTTGATTTATTATCATTTATACTAGTTATCCAACTAGCATCATAGTAACCTTCAAGTACCGAAGGAAACTTGTTATAATATAATCTAAAAGACTTTGTCTTTTTATGGTAACCTAGTACTCGTCCAATTGCTCTCCAATGGTCAGTACTAGGATTATGAGTAAATCTAGAAAGTTTGCAAATAGTGAATACAATATCAGGTCTAGTACAATGTATAGCATACATCAAACTACCAATTGCACTAGCATAGTCTAATTGACTAATAGATCTTCCCGAATTTTCTATCAGCTTATTAGAAACATCAAATGGGATATTTGCTTCCTTTATTCCCAAATGATTAAATTTGGATAGAATCTTGTCAATGTAATGAGATTGATATAGAGTATAACCCTCACTATGTTTCTTAATTTTGATTCCTAAGATGGTATCAACTTCTCCCATATCTTTCATTTTAAATTGAGAGGTTAAGTATTTCTTAGTTTCATTTACTCCTTTCATGTTAGTCCCCATGATTAACATATCATCCATATAGAGACATATTATTACTCCATAGTCTTTGGTAAATTTAGAATAAATACATTTATCTGCTTCATTGTGTTTAAAGCCACTTGATAAAATTATTTTATCAAATTTCCCATGCCACTGTTTTGGGGCTTGCTTTAAACCATACAAGAATTTAACTAATCTACAAACTTTCTTTCTATTTCCAGGAAGTACAAACCCTTCGAGTTGCTTCATATACACTTCCTCGTCAAGATCTCCATTTAAGAATACTATTTTAACATCCATTTGATGAATGTATAAATCATGTATGGATGCTAAAGCAAACAACACTCTTATAGAAGTAATTCTAGCAACAGGAGCATAAGTGTCCAAGTAATCGATTCCTTCCTTTTGTTTAAAACCTTTTGCAACAAGTCTTGCTTTGAAGGTTAGTATCGAACCATCAGTGTTACGCTTTCTTTTAAATATCCATTTACATCCTATAGATTTACAACCAGGAGGTAAATCGCATAACACCCATGTACCATATGATATAAGAGAATCCATCTCATCATTAATTGCTTCTTTCCAAAAAGCTGAGTCCTTTGAAGCTAATGCTTCGTTATAAGTTTTAGGATCCTCTTCCAAATGTAAAAGTATATGTATTTAATTGAATACACCATTCCACTACCTTCAACTAAGAAGACTAATGATTGTGAATAAATAAAATTTGGATCCAAATTCTTCTCTTTTCATGCTCTCTTACTCCTCCTAGGTTCACTAGGAGTTTCAACTATTTTCCTTTTATTATCACTCGTAGAAGTATTAGGATCCATAGTCGTATTTTGTGGTAATATAGAATGTGGTTTAGCAGTTGAATCACTTAGAAAGCTTGTTTCTAAAAAATCAACATCTCTAGACTCCACTATTGTATTTGAGTCTAAATCTAATAATCTATATGCTTTAGAATTTTCAGCATATCCCACAAAAATACTCTTTAGGCCTCTTGGTCCTAATTTTGTTCTTTTAGGATCAAGAACCTTATAATAGGCTATACAACCCCATACCTGCAAATAATTTAAATTAGGCTTTCTTCCTTTCCATAGTTCATATGGCTAAATTTTTGTCTTCTTTGAAGGTATTCGATTATGTATATGACAAGCAGTTAATAAAGCCTCTCCCCAAAGGTTAACTGGTAATCTAGCATGCATAAGGATAGCATTTACCATATCAACCAATGTTCTATTTTTCTTTTCGGCTAAACCGTTTTGTTGAGGGGTGTATGGCGCACTTGTTTGATGGATCAAGCCATTTTCTTCACAAAAAACATAAAATTCATTTGGAAAATATTCGCCTCCTCGATCACTTCATAGGATTTTAATT